TCTGCGCGGTGACACCTCGCTGCCGTCGCTTCGCTTCCCTAGCAGGGTTTGCACTGGCAGGAAGAACGAGGGAGTCTTGGCGAGGATGCGCGGTGACCTGCGGGCTCGGAGAACTTGCACGCGCCCTCTCTCGCTTATTTTTGAACGTGGCATATCCAGACACAGCAGAAGCCGTGCGGTAGAGTGTGCATTCGGGTGTGTTTCTCCTCCCTAACGTGGTATCTATATTTTCTTCCCCGTTTTTCCATCAGCCTCTAGGTCCCGGAGAGTGAAGACTTCATCCCAAGGTCATGGCAAAACACCTGAAGTTCATTGCCAGGACTGTGATGGTGCTGGACGGGAACGTGGACGGGGCGTACAGGACCCTGAACAGGTAAGTGTTAAAGGGCCAGAATCATGCCGAGACCAGCTCTCCTGAGAAGTGCAGTGGCTGTTCTTTCCTCTTCCCCTGTCATACCTTGTTCTCAGACCAGTGCCCGCCCAGGTGTTCACAGTCTTGAAACTTCCCAGCCCCTCAGGACCTGAATTCCATCCAAGGCCTCAAATAGGGCCCAAAGGGGAAGTCAAGTGATAAAGTTGCCGGGAGGCAGGAACCTAGGACGTGGTTCAGAGAAAGCTCAGGGAGGGAACGGTGTGGGACAAAGCTAATGGAAAAGGTGAATTCAGAGTTGGGATCTTGGAGAATCAAGGAAGAGAGGAAAAGTGTTACAGGTTTAGAGGAAGGTTACAGCAGAAGCAGGAGCATAGAGATGGAAGTGAACTGGCTGGAGTGGAGGAGCTGCATTGAAATGTTTTAAATGCTAGTCTGAGAGATTTGAATGACCCTAGTGAAGAAGGCCTTACCACTGTAGCTCCTCAAGCAAATAGTTCCTTAGCCTCCCCTTCGTTATAAGTCTTAGACTTTCTGGCTATGCCTCATTCATCATTTTCTCTCTCCAGTGTGAAGCAGAGTTTGGAGAAACAAAGGTTTGTTGAGTTGAATTATTAAAGAATGGTATGAAAGAGATCTTAAAGAGATTATATGAGGTGGCCCTCTACCTTAAGGCTAGCAAGGTGGTAGCTTTATTTCACAAGTCTAGCAAGATAAAATTATATTTCTTGGCCACACAGTTATTGAATGGTGGAGAGGAGTGTAAAACCCATCTTTCTAGTGCAGTGTTCTTTGCTCTATGTTACTAGACTGTTTACTAGTTTCTCTGGAAATGGAGAGACCTCTGATAGTCATTTTCCAGTTAGGAATCCTTATTTGACCGGGTTTAAATACTAGTGGGGTTCTTGGGGGCTGAGAGGGTAAATGAGAGAGAACCTCGTTCTTAGCAAAGGGTGCTAGGTGCGATCGGCTGGATGGCGGAAGACCACAGTAAGTAGGGGCAAAGATGCTGCCAGAAGCTGTATAAGTGAAAAACAGTTGCCGGCTGAGGGTAGTTTGTGTGTCTTTTCAAAGGATTTGGTGTTGGGTCAGCCCCATGTCCTCATTCTGTATCTGCATGCCAGTCATATCCTTAGACAGAAGTGGTTCCCTCTGCATTGTCACTTACATTGAGAGTAAAAATAGTCAGTGACATACCGGGTGGTAAGATACCCTATTTCATTTTTCTCTATTACTGCTCATTCCCACCTCTCCTATTTCAGACCTTTGAGTGGCATGTCGGTGAAAGGGTTGTGATGTCTAATGACCTTTTTCTGCCCCTAATTGGAAGCACAAAATGAATGTCTTTAAGACTCCTGTAGTGCCGAAACTGGTTTGGCTCAGTGGATAGAGCGTCGGCCTGCGGACTGAAGGGTCCCGGGTTCGATTCCGGTCAAGGGCATGTGCCTGGGTTGTGGGCACATCCCCAGTAGGAGATGTGCAGGAGGCGGCTGATCGATGTTTCTCTCTCTCATCGATGTTTCTGACTCTCTGTCTCTCTCCCTTCCTCTCTGTAAAAAATCAATAAAATATATTAAAAAAAAAAAAAAGACTCCTGTAGTGAATTAGTTAGTGAGATGAAATGTTAAATTTGGAGAAAGGAAACCTTGCAGATTACTTCACCTTTTTTTCTGACTTCTCTCTGTGTGATGTGTTTTTGTAGATTTAGATGGGTCTCCTAGTCAGGGTGATTGAGATGCTTGTATTATTATTGAAGGGATGTCAAAGGGCAGCTGTTACTTGATGGTAAAACAGATTTCAAAGGCTCAGCTTTAGCATCCCTCACATTCTCTATTCCTAAAGCATAAATAACACAAAAGCAAGAAGTTTGTTTCAAGGAAATTAGCTACTTTGACAAAAACCAGAAATAATTTTGGTGCAATGTTATTTATCAAACCATCTCTTAAACTCAAGAAAGTAGCTACAACTTTAATACAGTTTTTTTTTTTCATATAAATGAGATTAAGAGCACAGACTCTGAAGCCCACTCCCTGGTTCCATCCCATCTCTGCCACTTACTAGCTTCATGATCTGTATGAGATTAAGAGCACAGACTCTGAAGCCCACTCCCTGGTTCAATCCTAGCTTCATGATCTGAGGTAAGCTAGAATGTCTCTGCCTCAGTTTCTTCATCTGTAAAGTGAACATTTGTAGTACTTTCATAGGATTGATGTGAGGATTAAGTTGATATGATTAAAGTGCTCAGAACAGTGCTTGGCACATAGTAGGTATTATATGTTAGTTGTTATTATAATTTGGAAGTTATTGTAAGGAATTTTTTACCTTTTTGGTATTACTTTGTGGGCAATTTTATTTATTTATTTTGAGAGATTGGGAGTTTGCTTCAGCGGTTTTTCTCTGTCTTCCTTGATCATCAGGTTATGCTTAAAGTGGCCTGGAGATGAAAAAATTAGAAAATAATTAAGCTTTATTTTGTCATGAGGATCTAGTTTGCTATTGGTATTGAAATGTTTTTGTTTGTTTGTTTTGTTTATTCTCACCTGAGGATATTTTTCCATTGATACTTAGAGAGCAGAAGGGAGGGGGAGAGACAGAAACATGGATGTGAGAGAGACGCATCAATTGGTTGTCTGCCACACGCATCCCAACCAGGGCCGGGGATTGAGCCTGCAACCAAGGTACATGCCCTTGACCGGAATCGAACCTGGGACCCTTCAGTCCTCAGGCTGATGCTCTGTCCACTGAGCCAAACTGACTGGGGCTGGAATGGCTTTTTTAAAAAGACAGTGATACTTTTCAACCAAGGCTCCTACTGTTTATCCTGTTGGTAATCTCATTTTAAAATAACAGCATTTATTTCCTTTGTATGCACTGCTCTTGCATCCCCCATTTCCATTTACAAAAATTTAAAACCTGGAAAGCAAAGTATTTCTAATTTCCTGCCTGAAGGAATTAATCATGTCTCCATTGATGACCTTGGCCTGCAGAAAGCGCAAGGCCAACTCCCCCTTCTGAGACTGTTTCTTTGTCTGAGATTGTTCTGATTTTCTTAAAACCAAACCTCTATCTACTAGTATCTGCCTCTTTCAAAATCCTGATTCAGCCAATAACTTTTAATTTAATCAGCATTCGAGTTTTGCTCTTTCTGTTTTTTTCTTTTATCTAAAAACTAGAGGCCCGGTGCACAAAAATTTGTGCACTTGGGGTGGGGGAGACGGCAGGGGGGGGAGGTCCCCTCAGCCGGGCCTGCGCCCTCTTGCAGTCCAGGAGCCCTCAGGGGATGTCTGATTGATGGCTTAGGAGGTGACTGGCGGGCCAGTCGGGGGATGGCACGGCCAGCGAGCAGCCGGCCCTGCCCCCCTGATCACCCCTCTGTCCCTTATCACTGTCCCCTCTCTCTGCCTGCTGGCACCCGCCTTGGCTGGCCTGTCGCCACCCGCTGACCAGTTGTTCCGCTGATTTGTCAATTTACATATTAGGCTTTTATTATATAGGCTCCTTCTTGATCCTGGGTGGGTGGTAGGTAAGAGAAGAATAAATGAATGGCAGAAGGTGAGGCTAATTTGTTTGGATACCTTTTGCCATCTGGCCTGGCCTGGCCCTATCTCAGAACTCATTCTTAGGCTGTTTTCAGATATCTCTAAACTTCTTTCTCCTTTTTGTTAAATAGCAGCCCCATACTTCTTTTAAGGGTCTCTTTTAGTCAGGACACTGGTCAGTGTGACACCACGTGGTTTTCAACCCTGACTGCCAATTAGAATAACTCAGGGAACCTTTAAAAAAAATTCTTGCTGCCAGGACCCAACCTAAGATTAAATCAGTGTCTCTGGACAGTGGCATCTGACAAGCAGCATTAAAAAAAAATTTCCCATGAGCCCTGACTGGGGACATACAAGAAGCAACCAGTGAATGCATAAATAAGTGGAACAAAAAATTGATATTTCTCTCTCTCTCCCTTCCTCTTTTATTTATTTTTTTTAAAATTGATTTTAGAGAGGGGAAGGGAGAGAGACAGAGAGAGAAACATCAATGTAAGAGTGAAACATTGATTGATTGCCTTCCAAATGCGCCCCAAACAGAGAAACCTGGGTATGTGCCCTGGCCAGGAATCGAACCCACAACCTTTTGGTGCATGGGACGACAGATGTTCCAACCAGCTGAGCCACACCAGCCAGGACAACAGGCTTCTTGAGGATAGAGACATGTGCTTTTTCATTAGTATATCCTTTGCATTTACCAAAGTGCCTGGCACATGGAAAGCTCTCAGTAAATGTTTACTTAATGAATGTAAATGTTCCTGTTACCTTCTGTCAGTTCCTTTACTTTAGTGTTTGTCACACCTTCCCGCTGAAGTATCCTTAACAGCAGGGAGTGAAGGAACCCAGGCATACCTTGTTTTATTGCACTTGGCTTTATTGCATTTTACAGATGTTGGGGGTTTTTTGTGTGTGTTTTTAACAAACCGAAGGCAAGATCCTTCAGCAAAACGATTACCTGTTTTTATTGCGATATTTGCTTTATTGCGGAGATTTGAAACTGAACCTGCAATATCTCCGATATGCCAAGGTTCTGCCACCACAGGCAAACATGGAATGTCCTTGGAGTTGTTGTTTTTTTAATAAAAATTTTTTTAAAAAAATATATTCTTAACTTATTTTTAGAGAGAGAGGAAGGGAAAGGGGGGTGGGGGAGGAGAAAAACAGAAACATCAATGTGAAAAGGGAACATCGATCACCTGCCTCCTACAAGCTCCCTACCAGGGATCAAGCACGAAATCCGAGCATGTGCCCTGACCAGGTATTGAACTGGCAACCTTTCCTTGCATGGGATGATGCCCAACTGAGCCACATTGGCAGGGCCTAAATAAAATTTTAGGGGTTTATTTATTATTATTATTGTTGTTGCCATTACATCTGTTTTAGGGCTGACACCATCACCCGTACGTACTCAAGTTAAACTTGGTGTACTAGGTAGATATATCAAATTTATCAGAGACTTTTGCCTTTGGATAGTACCCTGGGCACTCTGTCAGGTATCCTGTTAAGAAATGTGGCATTGTTGCCCTGGCCAGTGTGGTTCAGTTGGTTGAACATTGTCCGATGCACTTAAGGTCACTGGTTCGATTCCTGGTCAGGGCACATGCCCAAGTTGTGGGCTCGATCCCTGGTGGGGTGCAGGAGCTGATCAATGCTTCTCTCATCATTGATGTTTCTATCGCTCTCTCTTCCTCTCTGAAATCAATAAAAATATATTTAAAAAATAAAATAAAATTGCTAAATCCCTCATCTAATTTAAAAAGAAAAAAAGAAAGCATGGCATTACTTTTTTTTTCACTTTAGGGATTAAAACACCAATGTAGGAATAGGTTTGGGGAAAACCAATTTACATTGCTTAAAAAGAAAAGAATTTAATCAGAATGAAGAGGAATGGTTAGATAGAAAAATAAATTAAGAGATTCAAGCATGGCTCAGTGGTTGAGCCAACCTATGGACCAGGAGGTCATGGTTCGGGGCACATGCCCAGGTTGCGGGCTCAACCCCAGTGTGAGGCTTGCAGGAGGCAGCCGATCAGTTATTCTCTCTCATCATTGATGCTTCTGTCTCTCACTCCCTCTCCCTTCCTCTCTGGAGAGAGAGAGAGATATTCCCTCTCCCTTCCTCTCTGAAGTCAATAAATATATATGTTTAAAAAGAGAGAGAGAGAGAGAGAGACTCAAGCCTGAGACTCGGGCCCTTAGGTATGATTATCTCTTTTAGGCTTCCTTATGAATTCGGAACATTCGAACTTTGTGGCTGGGATTATCTAGGGAAGCAGTGCAAGAAGGGCATGTGGTTGGAAGGAGCCAGCTTGGGGCAAATATTGTGGCAGTGATTTTTGTTATTTATGGGAAAAATACTTATTTTATCAATTTTTATCAATTTAGATTTTAGGAAGGCCAGCTTGGGGCAAATATTGTGGCAGTGATTTTTGTTTTTTATGGGAAAGATACTTATTTTGTCAATTTAGATTTTAGGAAGCTGCATTTCTCTCTCTTTTTTTTTTTTATCGTGGAGTGTTAGATATGTATCCCATAATTGCATTTTAGCCTCAGGAAGTAAAGTGATATTTTAATCTATATTATTTTGCTCTTAGAATAATTTTCTAGGCAAAGAGTTTTAAGCATGCAGATATGAGCTGGCTGGTGCTGGAGTGTCCCAGTCTTCTGTCTGTCAGACACAGTGTTTGCTGATATACTCTTCTTCTTTTTCTCTGTTTTTCTCTAATGTCCTCTCTCTGGCCACCTTTTCTGTATATGTCTACTACATCCCAGGCTTCTTATCTCTCTCAGCTTTCTGATAGTTGGTAGTTTAAAAATAAGTTGCATGTTCTGTGGTCTAATTACAACAGTAGATAGAGAGCAAATGAAAGGAGAGGGAGGTGGTTAAAACTTGAGCATGTGTTGTAGAAGCAGTCTGACAAAGGAAACAGCCTATGTGTCTGCCTAGTTAGATCGCCGTAAATGTTCATTACATAACCAAGGGCCCTCATGGGTGCCCTGGGATGAGGAGATAGAGAGTGTGGGTTGCTAGGAAGCCCTGCATGATTGGCTGGCCCCAAGCGAGGGAAGGCAAGCACACTGCACACATGCCCAGATGACCCCGTTTATTGCTGGTAGGCGAGCTTCTGGGCCCATTGAGTCCTTCTGCGTACACATTGGTCCTGACGTAGGCTAGCTACATGGACATGTGAGTCTGCCTCAGCTCCTTTTACATAATCCCTTGAATTTCACTAAAACTGGCAGCTGATTTCTCCTTCAGTGTTATGTTGCCAGGCGCCTGAACTCAAGGCTGATCTGTTTACACTAAAGCTGTTCGTCTTCTAGTCCTTGAACTACCTTTGGAAGCAGGAACATCTTTAGTAACACCCTGTCTGTTTACTTCATGAGTTCTGCAAAGCTCTTCCCGTATCCTTTTTGTTAGAAATAAGTTGAGTAGATGCCTCTATGGTAGGAACTCAGGACCATTTGAAGATAATCTGTACTTTTTTTAGGATAACTAAAATCTTGGAACTTATTTGGTCTGTGTTCAGGAATTAGGTGGAATAGTCCCGGGAAAACCATTAGCAATCCCCTAATTATGTTGTGGGCCACCGATCTTTTTGTTCTTTCCCCTCCTCCATTCTCATATTCTTCTGTTAGTTTCCTTCATGTCTTACTTTTTTGCCTCACCACACAGGCATTTACTTGGTAAGATGACCACTTCGGTTCCAAACCCCTTTTGAAACTCCGGTAGGATACTTGAGTATGTCTACACTCTCTCCTCCCTTTGCAGTTCTCTTTCATCCTACTTTTAAACTGTCTTTGTCATTCCAGTAGGATCCTCTTCCAAAGTGAGGTCATATCCAGGGGTCCCTGTTCTTTTTATAGTCTATCCTCAAGTCCAGTCAGTCTCCTTATCCTTTTTATATTATATTTCTAGTTTTTTCTCTCTGGGACTTTTTCCCATTTTTTTTCTCTAATATACTAGGGCCTAGTTCAAAAAGTGGCCTTCATCAAACAGCAGTAAACAACTGAAGTAAATGCGTAGGTGTTTCCATGGTTACTTACATGTCAGTGTGCCATGTCTTGGCTTACATCTCTTGAATTAAGGAGCCTAGCCCAGCTCTTCCTCCCTCCTTCTTTCCTTTGCTCAGGAGCACTGCAGTAATTTGTCTTCTGAACCGCAGTGGTTTTTGCTTGAGGAGCAGAATGCTGTTGTGGAGCACAGCACTATAGACTGAATTCTACTTCTAGCTGTATTCTGTGATCTTGGGGCAGATTAGCCTCTATGAACTTCAGTTATCTAAAATCTAACTCTTAGCAAAGATAATATTATTGAGGCTTTCTGAGTCAACATTTCCAAGAACTGTGTCTACTGTAAAGTCAACCCCTTGAGCTCTGGACATTTGTCAGTTACCTAGAGGATTCATTTTTGTCACATATTTACTGATAAAGGCTTAATCTCTAACCTTAAGCAGCACACAAACCAGTAAGGGAGATGAAAAAAATAACAAATAACCACAGTTAAATATAATATTGTCTGATCATTATTTTAAAAGGGGCATTAACACTGTGCTATGGCATTGGTTTTCCCTGGACTTTCAGCAGCAACATCATCTGGGAACTTGTTAGAAATGCACATACTTGCCCTAGCCGATTAGCTCAGTGGATAGAGCGTTGGCCTACGGACTGAAGGGGCCTGGGTTCGATTCCGGTCAAGCGCACATGCCTGGATTTCAGGCTCCATCCCCAGTAGGGGGACATGGAGGAGGCAGCCAATCAATGATTCCCTCTCATCATTGTCTATCTCTCTTCCTCTCTGAAATTAATAAAGAATCTATTTTTTTTAAAAAAGAAAAGAAATGTACATTCTTGGGCTCCACCCAAGACCTATGGAGTCAGAAACTGGAGATGGCACAGTAGCCATGTCTCCAATTGTGTTTATGACTTCTTATATGTAATGAAAGGGCAGGGAAGGCAGGAATGGAACCACTCAAACAATGCCAGGAATGGAGGGCAGCAGCAGCAGGTGCCTCCAGATCTCCTCAGGATCAACTGATGATGGGTTGAGAGGGAGACACAAATTACAGATTGGAGCCAGAGCTCTCCGGAGCATAGGGATTAGATAGGTTATAGAATAAACCCCCATGTCTTCCTGGCTCAGTGAAAACAAAGAGGTGAGTTTGAGTTAGGCATGTTCTAAATCCAGCTGGAGAAGCTGCATTGCAAGGAATTGGGGAGAGGAAGGTGGATAACAGATTGAGCTCAGTTTTATGGACACTTAAAGATTAATAAAATGTGGTTTCTACCTTTGAGGATTTTCAGTCTAATAAGGGAAATATTTGTATAAGTAACGGAAGGGCAGAATGAAATAGTTGCTAAATAGGTCTACAAAAAAGTAAATGATTGTGTAATTAATTGCTTTTTTATTCCCCTCAAATTCCTATTTGGGGTCTCTATAAGTTGGCAGTTAATGCTGTATTGCCACCATTTCATACCCTAATTTTTTTTTAGAGAGAGAGAAGAAGGGAGAGGGACAGAGAGATAGAAACATCAATGAGAGAGAAACATTGAGTGGCTGCCTCCTGCACTCCCCCCACCAGGGATTGAGCCCACAATCCAGGCATGTGCCCTGACCAGGAATCAAACGGGTGACCTCTTGGTTCATGGGTCAGTGCCCAACCACTGGGCCACACCGGCTGGACCCTAATTTTTTACAGACATCAGTTGTTTGGTCAGTTGACTTCTGGCCTTCTGTAAAATTGAAAAGGAATAATAATGAGCCCAAGCTTCTAACTTCATTGCCTGCCTTAATACAGAATCCTCACCATGGATGGGCTCATTGAGGATATCAAGCGACGCCGGTACTATGAGAAGCCTTGCCGCAGACGACAGAGGGAAAGCTATGAAACCTGCCGGAGGATCTACAACATGGAAATGACTCGCAAGATCAACTTTTTGATGCGAAAGAATCGGGCAGATCCATGGCAAGGCTGCTAAGGCCTGTGGATAGTAGGCCCAGTAGGAAAACACCTATCTGGTTGTATCTCCATCTCTTTTCTTTCTGCGACCCGTTTCTTGCAATAAACTCAACCATGTATATACAAGAAGACCTGTGTGTATATTGAAATAATCCACTAGTCAGCAATGGACCCTCTCTTCTATTAAGTGAAAGAGAAACTGAGTCAAAAAGTAGTCTAGGAATAGAGGGGCTGGTTGGGAGGGGGGAATGGGGAGTTATTGTTCAATGGGTAAAGAGTTTGAATTTGGGAAGATGAGAAAGTTCTGGAGATGGATGGTGGTTGCATAGTTACATAACAGTGTGAACGTACTGAATGCCACTGAATTGTACACTCAGGTGGTTAAAATGGTGTATTTTATGTTAGGTCTATTTTACTGTAATAAATTTTTTAAAGTAGTTTAGGAGAAGTAAGGAAATTTCATAATTGTAGTGGAATATACCAGTATCTACCATTTCCTACCCAACTTTTATGAAACACAAAGCAAGATCTTATTAGAAAAGCATCTGTTAATCTTGTTTTTTTTGACAAGAGAAGATAAAATTTAATATCATGCACATGGGGACCCAACATACATGAGAGAGTCAGAGACCCTGCATACAGGAGAGATTTAGATACAGAAAGGGGGACTGAAGTATATAAGACACCGAGTTAGAGATGAGGTAATGCATATTGCAGGATGATAAAAAGAACAGATTTTCAGTTAATAAAAGTGCCCTGCCATATAAGTGGGTCAAAAGGTTAGTACTGATAATCTCTTTTTATGGGCAAGGCCTTTAATTCAAATTCTTCTAAGTAATTAAGTGGGGGAAGGGGAGCAGAAGTTTCTCCTGAGCCTGAAGCTAAAATTGCCTTCAGCTCAAAGTAATTTGCATTACCACCGAGGCACATCCTGGGGTGGCTGGTTCTAGACCCCCACACAATTTTCCCATACCCTTGCCACTGTCATAGTCTTCTTTTTCTTAAATCAATTTAAAATTTTTCAATTATAGTTGACATGTATTATTATACTAATTTCAGGTGTACACCCTAGTGATTAGACATTATATAACTTACTAAGAGATGATCCCAATAAATCTCATAATCATCTGACCCAATAACAGTTATTAAAATATTATTGACTATATTACCTATGCTGTACTTTACATCCCCATGACTGTTTTGTGACTACCTATTTGTACTTAATCCCTTCACCTTTTTCACCCAGTACCCAAACCCCCTTCCATCTAGCAACCATCAAAATGTTCTCTGTATCTATGAGTCTGTTTCTGTTACACTTGTTCATTTATTTTGGTTTTTTAGATTCAGTTGATAGAAATGTATTGGCATTTTATTGTTCATGTTTTTGATGTTTGTTTTCTGTTCTTTTTAAAAATATGTTTTTATTGATTTCAGAGAGAAGAAGGGAGAGGGAGAGAGAGAAAATCATCGATTGGCTGCCTCCTACAAGCCCCTTACTGGGGATCAAGTCCACAGCCTGGCATGTGCCCTGACTGGGAATCCAGCTGGTGACCTTGATTACTATTGGCATGTCAGTGAGAGGGATTTACCCGCAGGCCAGTCAAGTTTACAACTAAATGTTGTAATTTTGATGTGGTTGTAGAAGGAACGAGTACATTTACCTACGCTGCCATTTTGACCCGAAGTCCCAGCCTCTGTTACTCTTTACTATACTGCCCCCCATTGTTAGGTAAAAGAAGGAAAGGAAGCTTGTATATATTTGGAATAAATTCTGCTTCTGAAATACCCATCGACCAGATGAGAGTGCTAGAAGCCTGGCCCAAAGGGATCCTTAAGACAAATTTAACATTCACCTCTGTTTTCCCTCTTTCCTTTAGTTTTCCTTAAGGAGGCTGATAGAGGGATGGTGGAGAAGTAATAAAGCAGTAGGTGAATGGTAATAAAGGAAATAGGAGTATTGAGAAATAGAAGGGCACAGAGCCAGAAATGCCCACAGCAGCAGTCGTCAAAGTGTGGTTTTCAGATCTGCAGTATTGACAGAAGCTGAGAAATTGTTTGAAATGTACATTCTGGGACCCAGCTTTAGACTTCTGAATTGGAAATTGGGGTTGGAGCCCAGTAATATAGTTTAACAAGCCCTGCAGGTGATTCTGATGCCTGCTAAAATTTGAGAACACTGTCCTATAGTGCTCAAACGGGAGTCTAGACCCGTGGTTGGCAAACTGCGGCTCGCGAGCCACATGCGGCTCTTTGGCCCCTTGAGTGTGGCTCTTCCTAAGCCTTAGGAGTACCCTAATTAAGTTAATAACAATGTACCTACCTATATAGTTTAAGTTTAAAAAATTTGGCTCTCAAAAGAAATTTCAATCGTTGTACTGTTGATATTTGGCTCTGTTGACTAATGAGTTTGCCGACCACTGGTCCAGACAGAGGACCCCACCACTTCCCTGCCTTTCCCCAAAAGGCACTCCAGGGTCTGTGACTTTTTTAAAATAAATTTTTATTGATTTCAGAGAGGAAGGGAGAAGGAGAGAGAGAGAGAAACATCAGTGATGAGAGGGAAATTGATCAGCTGCCTCCCACACTGGGAATTGAATCTGCAACTGGGTCTATGGCCTGACTGGGCATCAAACCACAACCTCCTGGTTCATAGGTTGAAAATTTACCACTGAGCATGCCAGCCTATGGAAATTTATTTTTATTAATTACATTGGGGGGGGGGGGGGGGGGGGGGGGGGGGTCGTATCTGCCCCCTGGGAAGAACAGCTACTCTGCTTCCTCTCCTGCTGTGTATTTCCTCTTGTCTTGTTCCCCTGACAGCCATGCTGCTGATACAATGAGAGTTGATGCCAACCCCCTGAAGGAGAACAGAGGGTAGGCAGAAGCTGCTAGCCCACCTCATCTCAACCAAGCCACAGCTCTCAGCATGGTGTTTTAAAAAAAAAGTAGGGGGGGGGCAATGGGGGGATAAGGACACATATGCAACACCTTAATCAGTAAAGAAAAAAAAATAAACAGCAGATTGCCAAGGCCACCCCGCCTCCAACCTCTCCAGATTGCTAGTGTCCACACATTGCCCCCTTGTGGTGTAGTCGTGTGGCTTCAGATTTCTGGCCTCAATTTTCTTTTCACTATCTTTTCTCCCTTTCACAAATACCACACTTATTGATAAAGCAGGCCTGCCAGAAGATATGCTGTAGCCATTGTTCTTGCCTTTCAAGGCTTGATCTCTCTTCCATTTGGCAGCTGTGTGGTGAAGAAGACGTATTACAGGGCATTGCACAGAAATAGCTTAGATCTGGGCCTTGCCCTCTGGAAGCTCACACTGTGGTTGGAGAAATTCTAGATACAGATAATCTTCGACTGGGTCACCTTTGTCTAACCTCATTTTAACAAGTTAATCAGTTAGGCTTTGGTACTCCTGAATCACCTGTCAATCTCTGACTCTGGTCTTTACTACATCATTTTCCTATGATTTTGAGCATGGTGTCACCTCCTGCCAGTTGCTATTGGTGAAGAATGGAAGCCTGGCCGTTGCCAAAATGGTAGGGTATGTTTGAGATAGAACCAGGCCTGTTACTTCGCAGTATTCCTCTGAGGTAGAAGTTGCTTCTGAGCTCCCTCCAAAATACTAAGGGGTGACTAAGATCTATAATTTGTCTCTGAAATTACACCCTGCTTGTCTTAATCTAAAGTCCTGACCATTGTCCATGTCCCCCAGGGCAATGATGGGCTTTAGCAGCTGGTCCATTGAGAGGCCTCATGTGTAAAGTGGGTATCTGGCCGGCTGGCTGAAGTTCTAAACAGCTCGTGTTGTCAGGGCGAGGAGAAAGACCTTCCACTCCATGCTCTGGGAAGGTAGAAGATAGCTCGTGTTCATGAGTAGGGATTGTCCTAATATGTTTATCTCTGTACTGGGTTCAGAAGAGGGGTGGTTTGGTATTCACCCACTTACAAGGTGCTACATGCAATACCTCCTACCCTGTTCTTATGTACTTGTGACACTGGATTGCCTCTGGCAGGCCTGTTCTGATCACAATTTAAGGATCTTATGGTTAGTGCTCTGGAAACAGGTATCCCCTTAAAATTGGTACTGTTGAGTATCTAGATGAAAAGCAATCTAGGCAGAAAGCAACAAATGCAAAGACCTTGAGCTTGGCATTATTCTTTGCATGTCCAAGGAACAAGGGGTCAGGATTCTAAAGCTGAATGAGTGAAGAGTAGCAATAGATGAGATCACAGAGGTAATGGAGTGGGGCACATATTGGAGGGCACTTGACTCAGGGATATGGAAAGCCAGGGGGGATGGTTTTGAGCAGGGGAGTAATATGACCTTTTTAATGTGTTTAACATGCTCACTATAGTACCAGATAATTTACTCATGTTTTTGTGAGAGACTAAAAGGGGACAAAGTGGAAGCAAGAGAAAGCAGTTAGGCGACTATTGAAATAATCCAAGCATAAAAGTGATGTTAGTGAAGGTGGTGAGAAGCACAAGAGTTTCTGTAAATATTTTGAAAAAAGGGCCAATGAAACAGGAGTCCAGGATGACTCCCAAGATTACTGGCCTGCATAACTGTAAGAATAGAGTTGCCATTAACTGCGATGAGGAAGACTGTATTGGGAGCTGGAGTGTGTTTTCTTGGGGGAGGGGGAATCAATTCAGTTTTCATTGTGTAAATTGTTTACAGCTACACAGTAGATATAAGTAATATATAAAATATCTATAATAGAGATGTCTATTATACATGTATGTATATCCTGTATCCTGTAGCTTTATTGAGAAGCACTGTTTTTTTTTTGTTTTTTTTTATATATTTTATTGATTTTTTTACAGAGAGGAAGGGAGAGAGATAGAGAGCCAGAAACATCGATCAGCTGCCTCCTGCACATCCCCCACTGGGGACGCGCCCGCAACCCAGGTACATGCCCTTGACCGGAATCGAACCCGGGACCCCTCAGTCCGCAGGCCGACGCTCTATCCACTGAGCCAAACCGGTTCCGGCGAGAAGCACTGTTTTAAGTGCATTGTCCTTAGTCACTCATGTTCTCACAGCAGCCCAATGAAATGGATTTTACAGGTGAGGAAATAGAGGGCCTCAGCGGTTCTCAACCTGTGGGTCGCGA